ATTAAAGGTTTGTATAATTATCAAGTTTTATATATAGTTTAATATATTTATTTGACAGTTAACTGAATGTATGGCACGAGTGAGCGATAGAACCCGATTGATAGGCTTTTCGTGTAGTAATCAATACGTTATCACCAGAAGTGTTGCTTTCAAAGTATGTATAAATAAAACAATTATTATAATAATTATTACAAAATATAATTTATAATTAATTTGTTTTCAGATGTTTTTAATTTTCATACGTTTTTTCCTATTAACACATAAATTGGCGATTCATTTCAATTATTAAACATTAATAAATATTTTATAATTAAGAGATAGTTAGAGTGAATTTATAATTGACAATGTTATTGTATGAAAATCATTAATACTTTTAACAATAATATTTATAGTTATAACATATAAAAGTTAAAAAATAAATGAACTACCATTAAACAAATGAATGCACATTATATTATTTTTACATAAATATTACAATAAAATAAATTGCTTTTCATTCATATAATTATCTAAGAAACTTAAAATACCCTGTAGATAACAATTTATATAATTTTGAATTAATGTTTATTTTAATAACTGAATTACAAATAATGTGTTTTATTTTCAAGTAAATTTTTCAATACACAATAAATATGCCAATTTATTGTTAACATAGATAGTACCTTTAAAACTATAAATACTATATTTATAATAAATATTTAAACAAATATATTTTTTATCAAATGTATTTCTAGAGTATTTTAAAAGTTAGTATCTTAAAAGCAATAATATCTCATAATATTACTTGAATTAACTTATAATTTTTAATTTAAAATCCATGTCGCAATTAAACGTTGGTGCAATTAATTCACGGGATTTAGAGTATCCGTTGTATAAGTATTGGATATTTTATAGATTTGACGCAAACCATAGAAATGTCACTAAAAGGCAACTCATTGTACAAAAGTGTAAAGTATTTGTTTTAATCATATTATTAACTATTTCTATATTTCGTTACGCATTTTACTTATATAAAAGTGAACCAAACAAACTGTTACCTGTTTATTACTTTGATATAGTTCAATATTTTGTCAATTTTAAAGAATTTACCTATGTCAATGCATTTATAGTATTTAGTATGAGTATAATGTTAATTATTTATATTAATACACGTAATATTCGTGATTACAAATGGTTTGACATAATCTCAGCTATCAATGGCTATCAAACGTTTCAATCAATCGGTTTAAGGGATAAGTTATTAATCCGTAAATTTATTCATGAAATTAATTTTCTAAGTATATTAATAAAAAATGCTATTATTTGTGTACATTTCTTGGTGTTTAGTACTACGAGTGCATTAATTATCAAATATTTCTTTACGTTAAAACTTATTATTTATGGCATTTTGAGTATTGTATTCATATATCCAGTGTATTTATCATACTTTCCGATAACGTTATACATATTTCTCTATTACCTAATGGTTTGTCATTATTTGAAAATTCGTATCAAATGTTTTAATAGAAATTTAACTTCGATTCAATCATATAAACTTTTGATAAAACAAAAAACTATTAATAAAATACTTAAAGATCACAATAAGTTGTGTTTGGATATTAAAATGCATAATAGGTTTTGGTGTAATATTTATGCCATTGTGTGTTATTCATTGATACCAATCAATGTATTTACATTACATTTACTATTATATGAAATTCATTCATATTAACCACAACTATATACATATCCTATTGTACGTTAACTTTATTATCCCTGTTTGCACTCAATATGATTACATCCGATATTAATATACATATTAGTAAAACGTATAAATATTTACATGAATTTTATTTGTGGGGTAACTCAGCGGTTAAATTGAATATGAAATTAAAGGTTTGTATAATTATCAAGTTTTATATATAGTTTAATATATTTATTTGACAGTTAACTGAATGTATGGCACGAGTGAGCGATAGAAACCGATTGATAGGCTTTTCGTGTAGTAATCAATACGTTATCACCAGAAGTATCGCATTCAAAGTATGTCTAAATGAAAGCAATTATTAATATAATTATTACAAAAAATAATTTATAATAATATCTTTTCAGATGTTTGTAATTTTCATACGTTTTTTCCTATTAACACATAAATTGGCGCTTCATTTCAATTTTAATAATGTTTAATACATTAATAAATATTTTATAATTAAGTGATATTTAGAGCGAATTTATAATTTACAATGTTATTGTATGAAAATCATTACTGTAACACTTTCAACAGCTAGTTGTTTTTACCTGAACAATAATAATTATAGTTATAAGTTATAAGTTATAACATAAAAGTTAGATAATAAATGTACAACCATTAAGCAAATGATTTCACATTATATTATTTTTACACAAATATTACAATAAAATAAATTGCCTTTCATTCATTAAATTGTCTAAGAAACTAAATTATAACTATTTCAACATACAGAACTTAAAACATGAAACTAAACTAAACAAATTGACATAGTTTAATAACAACAATTTCAGTAACAACCCTGTAGCTAAAATTTTTATATTATTGAATTAATGTTTATCTTAATAAAAAAATAGTAAAATGTGTTTTATTTTCAAGTAACTTTACATTGCACAATAAATATGCAAAAATTTTTTTAACGTAGATAGTACCTTTAAAACTATAAATACTATATTTATAATAAATATTTAAACAAATATATTTTTTATCAAATGTATTTCTAGAGTATTTTAAAAGTTAGTATTTTATAAGCAATAATATCTCATAATATTACTTCAATTAAAGTGTAAAGTATTTCTTTCAGTTATATTAACATTTATTCATTTAATTCGTTGGATATGTTATTTACACATAAGTGTGCCGAACAAAAAGTTGCCTGATTATTATGTAGAAATTGTACAATATTTTTGCAATTTTAAAGAGTTTCTGTTTATAAATTCATTTATTGGTGCAAATTTAGTATTATTTTTACTAATTGTGTTAAACACTCGCAATACTCGTGATTATAAATGGTTTCATATAATCTCAGCCATCAATGGTTATCAGACTTTCCGATCAATCGGTTTAAGGGATAGATTTATAGCAAATTATTATTTGAGACATGTACAATATTTGAAATAGATTATCATAATGGGATTATTAGCGTATGTATTAATTATCATAATAGATTTTAATTTAAATAATATTATTTATGGCATTGTGGCATGTCTCGTATATAACAAATGTATATAATATACTCGCGAACTAGTGTCTGGGTGATTTATTATTTTTTCATAGTCTGCTATTATATCTTATGTCAAATCAAAGGTTTCAAACAGTTTGTGAATAAATGCAAGGTGAATTCAGGTTTCATTAAAAATAAACAATTAATTAAGATTCTCATAATGCACAATGAATTGTGCCTGAATATTTCTAAACATAATATATTCTGGAAAAATATTTATTTCATATTATTGTTCACATTGTTGCCTATTAATGAAGTAATGCTACATTTATTGATTTTCAATAAACCATTATTTAATATGAAAATATTACTTATGGTTTTTCTCAGTATATTTCTAATATCATTATTTGCACTCAATTTAATTACATCTGATATCAATTGCAAAATTTCCAAAACTTATAGACCATTAATAAAAGTCAATAATAGTTTGAAATTTTCGGCCAATATTAGGGATAAAATAAAGGTTTTAAAGCAAATGATATATAATAAAGATAATTTCAATTTAGTTTTTAATTAAACTGACACCATGAACCATAGTGTTTATGTTGGAATTGACATTTGTATTTATCTCCAAACATTGCATAACACATTACAAAAATCCAAGTGCTGGATCACCATTCGCACAAAATTGCGAACATTACTTACATATACAAGTAAACAACATAATTTTATTATTTACTATCTGATTCAAATGTAATTAATTTTTGTATATTTTTTGATGTTAATATTAAAGTGTCCCAAAAATAAATAACAAGGTTATCAAGGTAATATAATTTTATGTTTATGAACATAAAAATTATACTAGCATGGGCAACATCCCATTGTGAGATATACTTCCTAAGATATATTTTATTTATTATTTTAAAAAATTAAAGTGGACCATTCAATGTAAAATTTAAGTTATTTAGTTTTACATTTCTAGTAAATTAATCTATTTGCATCAAGTTATATTTTACTCTAACTTCGGTGTTACGGCATCGAAACCACGCTCAAATCCGCACTCGTCATTGCCACGTTTAATTCTGAAAAACCCTTGCTCACCAAAATCGGTGTACCACGAGTTAGCCACCAACCAATAGTCGACACCATTATCCACACCCCAGCCAATAAGCTTAACGGCATGACCACCTACATACTTTCCGGTCACGTGCTGGTAAACACCGGATTTGTACAAGTAAAAGTCTTCGTAGAGCTATTTAATAGTTATTAAACAAAATTGTAATTTAATAAATTTTGTTTACCATAACTTAATAATAAATATTCATTCAATATCTATTAATTGCATAACCTTGCAGGATTACTTTTAAAAGTATAATTTATGTAGCTATAAATACAACTTACAGCGAATGTAGCTGACACAGGTCCATTTGTCATGATCTCCTTCTGAACGTTTCCAACACTCACGCCATATGTTTTACTACCGAAATGTTTATCCTGAGTGTACGTTAGGTTATAGCCATAGGCCGTTTTGCATTCTCGTTGGCACCTTGGTGTATTTATGGTCAAATTGCACATGGCACCACCAAATATGCTCCAAGGCTGACAGCCTTTATGTCTGTCTACCTGACCACCGGTGACAACACCTGTTTCGATGTAGTAGTTAAATACACTACTAGGCTGTCCACCACCACAACCCCCTACCCTAAAACCTATGCACGCTATAACGTCTTGGGCCGATACCTCGACCTGTTGTGTACCCATCGATGCGATGCATATGCGGTCGGATATGACCCCCGTTGCTGAGATTGCCCAATCTGAACCTGATCAATAAAATTAATCATGTAAGATAATTTCTAAATTAATTTAAGTTATTATATTGGATACTTTATCAATTTTCAAATACTAATAAAATTTCAAAATTATATTTATTAAGCACTTACGACAACACCCTTTATTCCCAATCTCTTTAATGGTGTCACAGTCGGGCCATTGTACCCGGGAATCAAACGATTCCGGTATGTCCTCATCAGCAATGCCATAAGTAATGTCTGAGCTTGGTGGTAGTGGCTTATAACCGGATAATAGACCCAGTGCAGGTTCAGAACCCTCTTCAAAGTTTTCCCCAGCCTATTAATTATATATATATATAAAATTTAATCAACATGCTCAGTAAATATTCTACTAATTTAGAAAATACTAACCTTCCATGTCGATCCCAGACTATTTATGTAGTCAATTTGGTTACAATGAGCCAGGTATACTATTAACGTAAAACCAAATACAACTTTAACCAGCATCATTTTAAATGTTATATTTAAACTAACTCTATTATTTGTGCACACTTGAGTTTAAATATAATAATTAATAAATAATCTATCCACTTGAATTATCACTCTTTTGCTGATATAAAAGCTTATGGCTTATTGAATATTTTTTATTGTCATTTTAGATAGGTGATAAAATACGTATACACACAAAATCTCGAAAAACAGAATCTCGAATTTCAAAATCTTGAAAAACATAATCTCGAAAATTTTATAATCTATTTTTTAGCTTTTTAT